GGTGGTGGTTCTGCTGGACCGGAGTGCCCGGGAATGCCCCCGGGATGTTGGCTGAGCTGTGCCGGCCCCGCCGCTGCCGCCGGAGCTGAGCTCCTTGCCAGCCCCGCCCGGGGCCCTGCGATCCGCTCATCCCCGGGGAAAAGGGGAAAAACTGGCCTCGCTCCTAATCCCTCCTGACCATTTGCAAGTGTGAACTGAATCGCAGAGAGCCCAAGTGCAGGTGTTTAAAATGCTGAATGGTTTGCGGGTACAAAACCGCGGTGCTACAAGGGTGAGGGCAGGAGGCTGCGAGCACGCTGACCTTGTTGGTCCTTCCAAGCAGAAACAACGTGCTGTCCTTTCCCGTCAAGAGTTAATCCTGAGATGACAAATTTTTAACAGGGCTGCGATTTTTAAAAAGTTATTATTTTAAAACCGGTTGATCCAAAATGTGCTTTTTCAGAGGCTCAGTTTTGCTTGTTTCGTCGTCGTCATTAAGTCCTTGGGAGCTTTTCTTAAATTTTCATTTGGAAGAGTGTCAGTTGCACAATGTCTGACAAAAATGGCCTTCTTTTCAGGAAGGGAACAGAATAAGTGACTATCACATTTTATAAACACCCGCTTCCGTGAGTACAGTCTGTGGACAAAGAAAGTCCAGCAGTCTGTTTGTTAATTCCATACAGAAGATGAGATATGCTAACAGATTTAGCAGATAGACTGTTTCAAGGAATGTTGATGCTGTGCCTGAAGTATTTCAGAAGACACTTGGATGCATCTTTCTAGTTAGTGTTCCTGTGACTTCTGCACTGTGATATTAGGCCTGGGATGTTTTAAATAGAAGGTATCCTCCCTTCTCAGGTCTGGGTGATCAGAGTCCATGTGCTTGCCACATCTAATTCTTTTGAAATCAAGTTTCAGCTTTAACAACACCACCACAAATGGAAATCCAGAAGTGTGCTGGTTCTTGCTTTTGCTGGTAAAAAAAAGATTTGACTGTGAAATGAATATTGTTTCACAGAAACACGAAAAACCCAGGATAAATTTAAGAGAGAGGTTTGTTGGGGTTTTTGTTGTTGTTTTTTGGGGGGTTATTTTTAGATATTAAGAGCACTTCAGTATTGAAGTAAGAAGTGAACTAAGTGATTATCGCCTTTTTCATTACCCTACATTTTCACAAGAAGCTATTATCAAGTTATCTTCCTGGGTACAGAAATAGGGTAGTGACTTCTTTCTGTATGCACCTGGAGAAGGAATAATTGCAAAAAACATGTTTAAATGTGGTCCTGATTATATCGTTCCAATACGATGTGAAACTGAGTTTTATGAAGATGATCAATTTCGCTATAGTTACCAAAACCCTCTAGGTTCTTCCACAAATTTTCTCTTGAAAGGGAAGGATTGATCCTTCTAATATGCAACCTGTCAGGGCTGCTAGCTGAACTGCATGCAACAGAACTGTGTGTTTTAACATTTGGTTTTCAATGTCATACATTTTTCTAGGTTGTGTATTTCCTGGAGTTAAAGGAAACTTTGCATCAAAACCTGAACATTCTGGTGCGAAACAGTTTTAAGCACATAAAAAGTAATTCTTAATGTTTTGCTGAATGGATCAATTGTTTAAGGAAACTAATTAATGTGCACTTCAACCATTGGAAGAATGCATGGGTGCTTCATACTGGCTTGTAGACAAAATCAGATTGTTTTAATTTCCTTGAGTCAGAAATGCAACTTTAGGCACATTACAGCAGAAGTTTAATGTATGAATGCCATAATTATGTGTATTTAAATGGTTTGTATAAATTCCTTGCATAATTTGTATCTTTTGAAATTTATTACTATTATTTATGTTTTACAGTCTGAAGTATTTGCTAACATTTCTTAAATTGGTGGACTGAAACAAATTAAAAAGTGATTGATTTACCCTTGGCATGTCACTGTGGCCAGGAAAGGTGGCAGGAGTTAGTTAATGCATGCTTAGTTTATGTCAGACTTAGAATGAAATGTTGAACACTTGAGGGCATTGACTTTTTTAGTCCTCAAGGGATGTACTGAGTTTGAGTAATGAAGGATTCCAGTGGTCAAGAGCTCTTTCTTTTATCAGAATAATCTGATCTCTACCTAGTTCCAACTAATAATGATAAATTACAAGTAACTGTGGTAGAAACACTGTTCACTGCCTGCATCCTGATCTCCAGGGTGAAACTGATGTTTCTAGTTAAAATTTGAGCATAATAAACTATCAGTGACAGCTTGTGCTGTTTGGACATCACATTTTTTAGGAGAACACAAAAGCCCTTCTGATTGAACTCATATTCAAGAGTCTTAACTTTTGCATGGGTATGGGCTTATTACTGAATAGCTGCTGACCTGTGGGGTCTGTCTCTAGATTGAGCAAACAAGTAGACTTCTTGGTAATTTGCTAGTTTCTGTACTTTTAAAGACAGAATGTTGAAGAGTTAGAAGCCTTCATTGTGATTACCATGGAAAAAGTGATAATGCAGTGACAAATGGTAAGTAATGACTAGGGAAGAGTTGTTGTGCCTTCATTTAAAAGCTCAAGATCTACATCTCTTCGTAATATATTGTGTTTTTGGAAAGTGGTTGTAAATTCCACCCCCCCAGCTACTAGAAATTGATGGCTCTATATTGCTGTCATCGTGCTGCCTTATCAGGTGGTATGGAAAGTTAAAAATAATCTTTCTCGTTATAGCAGTCTTTACATGTAGGAAGACACGAGTCTTTCAGGACTAAGTGCCTCCAATGGCCAACATTTTCCAAGTTTTACTATATTCTCTCTTCCAGACCATCTCAAAATTGACAGCAAAATCTTTGATATATTAATCCAGAAGAGTCTTTATCAGGATTATGGCTAACAATAGAGTAGACAATTGTATCTTGCACAGTACAGATGGTGCTCATATAGATGCTTGGCAGCATGAGAATTGCAGGTTCTGAAAGTTGGTAACATTTTTTCCTTAATTCAGCTTGTGATCCACTGTAACTGCTGATCTTCTTCTGTTGATTTACTGCTTACCCTGTTATTCTTCATCTTGCATTTGTATTTTTTAAGTCTCCTAAATATACCACCACACACTTTCCTTTACCGAAATCTATCTTGTGAAATTTAGGTAATATCTTACATTTTTCAAAATAATTTCATTTGCTAATCTTGTTAGTAAGATTTCCTGCTTTCTTAATTCAGTATTATCAGACTGTTATTTGAAAATACCCTAAGTTTCCTCATTTGTAATTACTGAAAGTGTTAACTAAAGCAGGAGAGGTTTGAGCAAATCGCATCCATGTCAGATTCAGATGGCACCCCACTGTAAATGCTTTCAGTGAACTATTGACTCAGCCTCTGAGAACAGATTAGTTTTGGCTCTTGTACACACAACAAATACATAAAGGGTGTCTGTATGTTTCTTTTGAGAGTGTTTGATGGGACGTAACAAGCACTAAAGCAAAGGTGTATTGTAACATACTGCTTCAGTTGCACCATATCTAAGTGACCCTAGCAAGGAAGGTTTCTTAAGAGCAAATACAATTTTTGTTACAACTTCAAATTTGCTTTGGATTAAGACTGTAAAGATTTTCTGTTTGGCATATTTATCCTGATAAGCCTGGAGCACTGTTAGCTGCGTGTTGTTTCAAAACTGCAAACACAAGTCAGCTATGTTTTTGTGCCAGCAAATCTTACTTTTCCCCCATGTTTTATTTTGTGGTTTTATTTCTTGGGTACAATGGAGCTTTTGCCTTCCCCTTTCTAACTTATTTTAGAGCTGCTCTGAAATTCAGCTGATGCTGACCCCAGGTGGCAAGTCCCTGTAGCACAGCGCTGGTAAGAGATTAAAATCTGGGAGGTGAAACTACACGTTAGAGCAGCTGTGCCTGTGAGCCCAGCTGAGATACAGCTTTTGGATGGAGCTGGTTACTATGGAGCCGGCTCAGGCAGCCATAGCTGTGAAAGAAGTGTAGTTTCAGTGTTCTGGTGGAAAAGAGCTGCTGCTGCACCAGGCCAGGCTGCCACCATGCCAGGTACCAGTGCCCAGCCAGCAGTGAGGCTGAGTGTGAAGTCCCATAGACAGACAGACATACAGACACAGGTGCATCAGCCATGGTGATCAATGCAGACAGAAAACAGGCCCCCAGCCACCTCCCTCAGGAGCCCCAAGCGCCTGAAGGCAGCAGCCCCCTCCATCTGAGAGCTGATGGGGACTGTCCCCCCTTGACCGTGGGGCAGGTGGCTCCTTGTGACAGCCTTGGGAGCAGACTCATCAGTGGCACAGCTAGCTCTGGTGAGGTTATGGAGGTTCCCTGCCTGTCGTGGTGCCTCTACTTCTTCATGTTCATGGGGATGAACCTTCAGTCGCATAACCCAACACTCTTCAAGGAGGAAATGGGACATTTGTGCTCCTGGTTTCTCCTGCACTGCAGCTGGCAACAGAGGATGTGTTGCACGTGAGAAGTGATAATGGACAAATGATTTTACAGTGTACAAATTTATCTTGGATTGTTCCAGGTCCTCCACTGCTTTTTGGAGTCTATTTTCTAGCAAAATATGTTGGGGTTTATTTGTTTGTGTTTTTGTTGTTTTGTTTTTGTTTTTTTGTGGTGGTACGAAAAAACATTATGGAGTTTGTTTTTTTTAAATATATTTTTGGAACTTCAGCATTTCTCAAATTACAAATGTGCTGCTTACATTCTTTAATTACGTGGGCCTTTCAATAGATAGGGTTATTTCAACCAGGCCAGTTTATTTGTGAAGTGGTAACCATATGGAGTGACAGTAGCTGATGGTTATCCCTTCATCTGCTCTCACTCCCTTAATTGTTGACAGCTATGGGCAAATTATACATATTTTAATTGCAGTTTACTTATTCTAGAAAATGTTTGAGGACTGCGTGGAATTGTCCACAGGATGAATCTGACCTGTGAGAGCACTTTGCCCTAGGCCTCAGACTCTGTGGATCCCTGGAAACCTTGCTAAAAAAATCACTATAAAGACTGTTCAAATTTTTTGATGCAGCTTTAGCAAATATCTTGGAAAATTTGAAAATTTTCTTCTCTGTTCCTTACAAGTAGCTGATGAGTGGAGGAGAGGGGATGAATGTGAAATGGAGGAAGGAAAATACATCTTTTCCTGTTCAGACGGGAAATGGGAGCTGGAAAGAGATTCCTTTGTCAGTTTGCAGAACAAAGGAAAGGAGGAGCTGAGGGAAGGCAAGTTCCCAAGGAGGAAGCTACTTCTGCTGAATGTCAGTCTGTAGTAAGCTTCTTCTGTATCCACTGGCTCAGTGCAATTGCAGCATGATTTTCAGGTTTTGTAGTTTCAGCTGTGCGAAACACATGGAAGTGTTAAGTTTTGTTTCCATTAGCTTCTGTTGCACACTATCATAATTTAAAATAACATTAGGGTTTTGTGCAGTCTCTAGAAGTCTATTTAATAATGGCAGAATTTGTTATTTTTTAAGAACATTTCATAAGTACATCCTCTAGAAGTATGACTCTGCCATGTTGTTTAACATGCTTTTAAAAAATAAATTGAAAATATAAATATGTATTGTATTATGTAATAGGCCTGCAACTGACATGTGGGAATTAGTATTCTGATCTCTTAAACGTATCAGAATGGAATGTAAAGGTACCTTCCTTCTATTTATAAGGTAAGATTTCTGTCAGTACTCGTTACCTTAAGATAAATCAGGAGATACTTAGTGGAAGACAAGATTGGGTGTAAAGCTAATTACTATCTAATGTAATGTAGCTGCAGGTGTCCTTAGTGAACTGGGGTCTCTGGGTCCCTGATTTACCAGTCACAACAGAAAGTGATCTCCATCGATCTCACGTTTTTACATCAGTAGTATCATCCTTAAAAAATACAGAATCAATACATTTCGGTTATTGTAGTGCTCGTGAATCCTGGGAAGTGAAGGAAATGATGCAATGTGGGCAAGCTGTGTATCGTTACCTTTTCCTTTTCTGATCTGCCAGTTCTTTGTACTTGTGTGGAGAAACTACCCAGAGGGGGCGACAGAGCAGTTCTGCAGCCAGGACAGCTTGAACCCCGTACATGGGGCTTACTTTAACAGTTCGGATAAGAGGTGTTTTTTAAATGTGGATTTGCTGCATACCTGAGAAGTTCTATAACTGGTTATCCTCCACCTTAGCTGGAGAAGTCAACCTTTGATTATTACTCATTGTTATTCTAATGCTTGTGGTCCAGGGATTCAAGAGGCAGGGTATATGGGGAGAAGCAATATAGGGTGTTATATGGGAAAAAGTGATTTCTTTTATTAAGCCAACTGATCGAGATATTTTAAAAAGGCTATAATAGCCTATTCCCACAGTTTTGTGATGCATTTCATAGACTTCAAAGTTGTGACTTGGAGTTGGTTGGTTTGCTTGTTTTGACTGCTAAACTGGAATATAAACTTGTAATAAATAGTCAAAATGCAGAATAAAGGTTTATAAATAAGGGAGAGAGAATAAATTATCACATTTTAAAAGGCCACTTCTTCCAGTGTTTAAAGAGAAGACTTATTTTAGAATTGCATCTAACTTTTGTCTTGAGAACACTCTGCCTTATCTGTGTTTTTTAACATTTGGTACAAATTAACTTCCAGCCTTATAGTTTTAGTTATAGCTCTTATGAAAGCACAGGAACAAAGATGTGAGAGCAAAACGGAACTAGAAGTTCTATTGTAATTAGGCAGTTAATAAATAAATAGTTGAATTATTATTTTTTTTGTAGATGGGAATATATATGTATTTTAATTTTTTTTTTCCAGCAGTTATCACAGAATTATAGAATGGTTAAGGTTGGAAGGGACCTTAAAGATCATGAGGTTCCAACCTCCCTGCTATGAGCAGGGACAGTTCACACTAGACCAGGCTGCACAAGCCTCATCCAACCTGGCATTGAACACCTCCAGAGAGAGGGCTTCCAAAACCTCCCTAGGCAACCTATTCCAGCACCGTACTACCCTCATGGTGAATAATTTCTTCCTGATGTTTATTATCACTATAGTTTCTAGTTATCTAACGAATGAGTATGAAAACATCTGCATCTTGCTTCTACTGGGGATAGTGACACATTATTTTTTCTGTTCACAGGTAGGGTAGTTGGTCTAACTTGGCAAGATTGTTTCCTATCAGGGCCTGGAGTTTTCTGTGTGTTTTACTTTACAGTAATTAGAAGGGCTCTTTTTATGTTTAGAGTCTAATCTTAGTATTTCAGAGTAAGGAATTCTGAAAAATAAGATCTGTATTATTGTTTTTTTAGGGTACCCTTGAAAGTGGAACAAGCAAACAATGCTCGTGATGCCTTAGCTAAAACAGTTTATAGCCATCTGTTTGACCACGTAGTGAACAGAGTAAACCAATGTTTTCCATTTGAGACTTCTTCTTTCTTCATTGGAGTTCTAGATATAGCTGGTTTTGGTAAGTATACTTAAAAAAATACTTAATCTCTTAGCTGTCTATTATTGCTGCCAAATATTCAATGATAAATTCTGTAATGGAGACTGGGAGGGGGTTTTTTTTGGTGGTGGTGGGTAGGTTTGGTTACAAGGGCTTAAGAAGATATCAAGAGAGGAGATAAAACCTTGTTTTTCTGAGACACAAAGATGTAGAGGAGGTCTAGAGCTTCTCCTCATGACCTCATAACACTAACAAGCATTAGTGTGAAACTAGGCATCTTTGTAGTTGTTTCAGCTTCCTGTAGTGTCTACGTAGATGCACCTTTTGAAGGACTAAAACTTTGGAATGGAATCTTACTGTGGCCACCCAGTCAAACTAGGAAAGATACTGCATATGCCTACTGTTTTCCCATTCAGTCCTCAGATCACTGCATACTGAAAAACAGGCAAATGAAGTCTCTGATTTAAGATATTTTTTCCTGGTGGATGGACAGCTCTGTTACAGAGCTGGACTTTGGGCTCTTGGTTGCTCCCTGACAGTGGTGGACACTGATGGTTCCTGTAAAGCTTATGTCTTTTTTGGTTCACTGGGATTCAGAGTCTAGCCCTGCTGAGGTGGTCTAAGAAAAGGGAAAAAGGGAACCCTTGGTTTTCAGGTCTTGGTTTTCAGGTCATATCCTGTGCCAGCCTCTTGTAGCATGGATGCGTGAGAGGGATGTATTAGGTACAGTTTCACTGTTTGGTAGCATCTTGCTTTGGTTTGTTGCCAGGTACAATTGTCTGTCTGAGAAATATGATCTGCCACAGTATATTTATATCTGTCTTATGTGCAAATTGAAAATCTGTAAAAGCTTTTATTTGAATTGGATGAACAGATATAGATCTGAACACATCTTTAAATATTAGTACAGTGAAGCTTTTCCTGTTTACTATGTAATATAAATACTTACAACACTGGTTTATAATAGAAGTTTGAATTATGTTTTTCAGAATACTTTGAACACAACAGTTTTGAACAATTCTGTATTAACTACTGTAATGAAAAACTGCAACAGTTTTTTAATGAAAGGATTCTGAAAGAGGTATGTTACATTTAATGTTATATTTGGGAATTTATTTTTTTAGCAAAGAGATACTTAAGGCAGCACTGCTTTCCATAAGATTGCACATTAGGCTTAGATTAAAAAAAATTCAATTGACAAACTGTTTTCCTACTGTGTGATATCTGGTTGTGCCAGAAAAGCATATGGCTTTTTTAAAACCAGCAGTCTTTTTTTGTCTTTTTTTTAACCATTACTTAAAATGAGACATAGAGACACTGGCAATATTTCATACCTAGTGGGAATATCTAATTGCGTGGGTGTATCATTAAGGAAGTGAAGTTGGAATGTATAAAGCTGTGGAAGAAATTCTAAAATATGTGTTTGTTCATGCTGTATTTAAAACTGGTTTTTGGTTTATTTAAATGCACAATTTTAATGGGTAAAAGAAATAAATATATGGTGAGTGATGATTTTACTCTTTTCAATTTATCTGCTTTTTTAGGAACAAGAACTTTACCAAAAAGAAGGCCTGGGGGTTAATGAAGTGCGTTATGTAGATAATCAGGACTGTATAGGTAGGTACTTAATGAAATATCAAGCTATTTGCTAGTGTCATGGTGGAACAAATTTTCAAACAGAAGGGCAAAATACTTGTAGCAGTAATAATATTATGCTTTAATGACTGTTGTAACCTTGTGAATTCTTCCAGCGTCATATAACATTCCAGTTCTGGTTGGTAGTAGAGACATGTTGCCCTACATTGTGTAATAACTGCAGCTGGGACTTGTGAATTTCATGTGCATTTTAAAATGAAGAAGAGTGTGTGGGTGTCTGGGAAAAATATTCCATGAATTAAGAAAATCCCATCCCATTCTCCCCACTTTTTTACCCAATGAGCAAAGAAACAAAATGAACTATAGGCAACAGACTGTAGATGTTACTGCTGATTTTAGGTTTCCACAGACTGATGTACCAGAGGCTTAAGATACTGATGATCTTTTGTTGTTTTTTCTTTGTGTTCAACTTGTGTTCTCCAAGTTGGTGTATTGTGAACAAAAATTCATCTTGCTTTTGCATTTACAATAATTTGCTTATGGTAACTAGTCAGTCCTGGCTGAGCAGAGGATTCAGAGTGGCAGAATTCAACATCTGTTGCAAAATATCTGGTTCATCTCAGTTTCTGTAACTGCTGAGAGAGTTTTCACTTTGTCAGATAGGACTGTACAGTGACTAATTCTGACTTAATTGAAGACAACTCTTGTTAAGCAAACCTCTTAGCCATCCTGTGTGCCCTGACTTCATCCTGGCTCAAACCAGGACACTGTGAAAAAACAACAAGGTATATGGAGAAGGGAACAAAAGCATAGAAGCAGAAGACAGGTGACTTTTATGATTACAAATCTTATCTCTTGTAGTATCTTTATAATGTAATTAAAAATATGTATATGAGCCTCAGCCTGTTCCCAAAAATGTTGTTGTCGTTTAGAGACTGTCATGTTTCTATAAAGAGAGTTGCTTCCCCCCAGTGCATGTTTTTTGGAGCATATCTCTGTATCAAAAGGGGTTCCCTGGTGCCTATTGGAAGAAAAGGTCTCTATGTGACTCACATTGGGAAAATCGGTCAGATTGTAGAGATTCTTGCCAAGTTGTTGACTTTTTTCTGCCATAGAGAAAGTTTGGGCCTGAGCATACAAGTAGCAGTCCCTCAGTCATGACCTCTTTCACTATTCCAATCAACATATGACACCCTATCCCAGATCTGACACATTTTTTCATTGTATGAAAAGTTATTGTTATGAAAGTTATTAGAAGTATAGTTTAGTTAAACCCCAGCATGTATGGATTTCTTCTGTTCTTACATAGACAGGAGAAAATAATTTTCTACTGCCTTCTGAAGCTGGTGAGAAAAATAATGTTGGTTTTTGTTGAAATATGATTATGTTTAAGATGTTGGACCAGGCCAGTGACAGCAGTTAATGTGTAGAAATATTACCTGTCACAAAAGAAAGGGATATTATATTGAGATGGACAATTTTTAACACTATGGGAGAATCTTCGAAACAGTCATTATTATGCTAAAATGTTTTTATGGAATAGTAGTAATCTCTGTAGCAAAATTAGCTTGCTCAGGTTTTATAAGCATAAATTTCTTGGATCAGGGCTGTCCTTGTGCTTTATAGTATCATACCATTTACAATCTGAGGTAAAGAGTTCATAGGCTTTGTTGCAATATAAGCGTTACTCATTTCTATCTTTCCACAGGAAAAACAAGTAGGTAGTAAAAAAATCCTCTTACAAAAACAGTTTTATCAATAATATAATAAAATGTTAAAAACTGCAAAATCCTTGTGTCCAGTAGTTTTAAAAGCAGTAATTTCTATGTCAGCTTTCAAGGGCTTTTTAATATGCATGTGAAAGGTCAAGGCAATACACTTGCAAAAAAGTTGTGAAATCACCACTGTGTGCTCAAGTTTGATCTGCTTTTCTTAAAACAAACACATTTCATTTTTCTTCATCGATCCTGTTGTGAATGGAAGTATGTGCCTTTTCATGCTTTTAGTTTTGACACACAGATGAAAAGATTAAAAAAACTCCCAAGAGTATGAGCAATCCCATAAAGACCTCTGGTTGAACCGCAGAAACATTTAGGCACTTTCAGCTGACTAAATTCGACTTGAGAGTAAAAATCAAACAGTCAGTACATTATCTTTTTTTCCCTGGTGTTCCCTGTGTTAGAGTTAGAGCTTGGTATGTAGAGGTTATTGATGAAGTCAACAATGCAGATATGTAGAATTAACTTGTAATGCCTTTTTGTATTTTGTGTTAACAGCTGTCGCTACAGTTACACAGAATGAGATCCAGTACCATTTTAAATTTGTAATGTTCAGTTCTAATATGAGGTTATATATTCAATTTTTGTAAACTTACTTTTGTTTATTAATAGATTTGATTGAAGCAAAATTAATAGGAGTACTGGATATTTTGGATGAAGAAAATCGTCTTCCCCAACCAAGCGACCAGCATTTTACTTCAGTTGTGCACCAAAAACACAAGGACCATTTCAGACTCTCTGTAGGTTCATTTCTGCTGTCTGTATGGTTTTAATAAAGCAGTTCTTGGAACACTTGATATTAACACTTAAATTTAATTAAAACCTTTCCTAAGAAATCTCACACCTCACCAGTCTGCACTGTCCATATTCTTTTGCTAAGGATAAGTTTGGTTATTAGGTTTATGGAAAAGTTCACTGAAGGCTTAAGTCTTCTAGCACTTCTAATATCCTGCTG